CTGAAATTTTAAGGAAAGCAAACATTGGATGTGAACACAGATGGTAGGTAATGCGTTTCAGCAGTGGCCACCCTGCACGAATGAAGAATCTTATTCATGTGTGCGTTTGTCTGTTAATAGTTAGAAACACGACCCTGAAATGATCTTGCTATAAGCTGAGACAATCTCATCATTTAGTTGGAATTCAGTAACTTTCGGCCGGTTAACTCTTTGGTCTTCTTAAGATGTATAGTTAATTGGGCTTCGTTTTTTTATTTCCGCCTAGAAAATTAGGCTTTATTTTTTCTTTCCGCTAAGTTTTATTAGTTCTAAAATTTCCCATAAAATAGAAAGGCGTGTAAGACAAGGATGTGTCTTCTCACCGAATTTATTCGACTTATACAGGAGACGATTCGAAGACAACTAGAAGACCAAGCTGAATTTATTATTGGCGGTCTTTAACGGCATAAAATACGCAGGTGACTCAGTACTGAAGGTGAACTCGGAAGGAAATATTAAAAAAAAAACAAAAAACTCCGAACAAACGTAGTAAAGGAAAGAGAGAAGAAAAGACTAAGCATAAACTATTTAGTAGAACGTGGGCAAAGATAAATGGTAGAATCAAGCGTTGATTAAAGCAACAACGAACAGGAAGATGTGGAGAGTCATAACAGTCAGCATGCTGAAGGGACATGTCACACAAAAGAAGATGAAGAAACCGAATATATCACTTTATTAAATAAAAATGGGATAAATTTTTGCCCATATCTCTTTGACTTCAGCGTTTCGTAGCGTCATTTTAATCGTAAATCTATCAACAAATAAATAAATAAATTATCTATCCCTCATTATCTCCGGAACGAAAATAGAAAGAAATCGACAACCGCAGATTTCAAGTTGTAGTTTTAATTATCCACAGTGGACACAATTAGCAAAACTTCCGAGTTCAATATCTATATACAAAAAAGTAAAAGAGTTTGTTTTACATAGTTTAATGCGTATGTCTGTGTTGTGTTTGTGTCATTTAATGTATACATGAGCACGTGCAATGGCACATAAACACGCAAACAATTTCATTAAGTTTGAAATAAGATCTTGGAATAATACATTCCCTTCCCACTTATTCTGGTCAACCTCTACCCTAGGCTGAGCAATAAAATCATAAAATTGGCGCATCACCACAAAAAAAAAAAAGAATAAGTTTTTAAAGCCTGAAATATCAGTTAATTATGAGACATTGCAAAACTTTTCGGGAACAATTCGGAAATAAATAGATTTTTTTTTTGTTTTTCTTTTTAAACAAGTAGATTTTTTGTTTTCTTTTTTACAGAAATATTTTTAGGTCTGTCATTGAGTTAAAAATTTAAATATTCACACGCAAATATATATACACACAAAATATGAATGAAAGTGAAATGAACATCTTTCTGGCAACAGCCTCTGGGTTAACAGGAAAACCGTAAACTAAAATTTGAGGCCCTTTGAAGTCATTTTTTATGACCGCCTTTGTATTTAAACTGAATATATTCTCTAATAAAGTAGGATTTTAAAAAGACAATTTATATTTTAAATAGTTGGTTGCTTTCTTTCTTCTCTTTCTTTCTTTCTTGCCGAAATCAAACAGGGTCTCTGATATGTCTTTTCTCGCAATCAAAAACCGAACAGTTGATTATCCATGAAGTATGTGAAGGGCGTCTCTTTCTTTCTTTCCTTCTTTTTTTCCTTCTTTCTTTTTCTCATTGAAATCAGCGTCGCTGGTTTTAGCGGGGTGGGGATGTCTTTCCTCGCGTTCAAAACGAAACAGTCCATTATTTATGAGGTATATGGAAGTTGTTTGTTCCTTTCTTTCCTTCTTTTTTTTCTTACTGAAGTCAAACAGTGTCTTTGATATGTCATTTCCGTCTTTCCACGCGACCAAATTGGAATAGTCCATTATCTATGAGGTTTTGGAAGGTCGTTCTAAGGGACTAATGAAATGACAAGCAGATTTATATTAAGATGTTTGAAACAATGAAGTTAAATTTTAGCGTTTTGATGTTACTGTACTTTCGGAATTTATTTCGTTAACTCTGTGGAATTTGTGAAGATTTTATAATATTAAGCGCAGAATAACACACAAAAACATAAACACAAATAAATAACAAAATAATTCAATAATAAAAATTGAAATCGTGCACATCGTTAACCAAACAATGTCTCTCTCAAGAGACCGTCTTTCTTACGATCTTGTGCTTTCTTTGTTGTGTAAGCGCTTTATTTTTATATTGTATGTTGGGGAGGTCACTTAGTTGGGGGTATAGCTTAATCTGTATTGAAAAGTACCCAATCAAAACCAAAATGGCGGCGCCTAAATGAGTTTAAATTTTCACTGAGTTGTCCATGCTTATGGCTTTGTGCCACACCTAAACTACGTTTAATAAATTGCTAAATGCTCAACAAATACATAATTTCTTTTCATGTTTTTTTTATCCATAAGGGACAATCCAGCCATGCAACAATGACATAAAAATGCAATATCGAAAGTTATTATATATATATATATATATATATATATATATATATATATATATATATATATATATATATAAAAGAAAGAGGTTGTAGTAGTTCCAACGAGAGAAAAGTATGTAT